GGAGAGAGACACAACTGGAAAGAATACGGAGCTTAATTGATGATGACAGTGATGCCATGGACAATGCCCAGTAGAAAAACAGATTACATTTTACCTTTGAATTTCACATTGTGCAGTTCCAGAAAATATCAATACTCCCCTCCACAGAAGGGATTGGAATTTCCTGCGGGGTGGGGGTTCTCTAAGACAAAACATTTAAAGAAATGTATCAAGCTTAATTGGAATTTCCAGAGGGGTGGGGGCAGGGGTCTTGGAAATAATAATAATAAAAAACTCTTCTGTGAGGGCAGTATGGTATTCTCTGGACCTACAAATTTTCCACATCTGCTCAGTACACCAGTAGGTCTAAAAACTTGCTCAAACAAAACATGTAATGCCAGTAGTAAATGCCAAAAGGAAATACAAAACATTGGCCAACATGGCTCATAAAAATTCTCAAAAATATTCAGAATTTGGACATATCACATTTTTGTTTTGTGGAGTGTGGCTACGACATGTCAAAACTTGAACATAGGGATTGTTTTGCTTATCTAATCTTTTTTAACGATGTCCTCTTGGGTGTTGCTGTCATAGTATTCTTAAGCTCCCTAATGAAGCATCTGTACATCACTGTCTATGTCTTAACACCATTTAGCCAACTTCTCGAAGATAGTTTGACAGCTTTTAGTAACAAGTATTAACTTGTGGATTCTTCAGCTTTGTCAGCCTACAGTAGCATTTCTTCCTGCAATCACTTTCTGCATGCAGACAATATTATCTTCTCTTCGTATTTTTGATTCCAAGGCTTGTCAGGTTTCTGGGAAGAGGCCTGGGAACCAGTATAATCTTTCACTGGGTGCTTGGTCATCAACCCAGGCCATCTCTTCATGAACCATGTGATCCTACAACAAGAAACCAAAACACTCACAATTGAGGTTTTAGCCGCCCAAATTGAATACCGCCAAATTAGTGTCCAGAAAAAAACATAGGTCATTATCTTGGAAGATAAGACATGAGTGTCCAGATGTCCTGTGGACAGCCACTTTCTAAAGAAAATTGTTTTATTTTTCATATGTAGCCTTATAAATTGATCATTTGACCAGGCCTATGGCACATTTTGGATGGCCACTTTTCAAATCCTGGCTTAAAGCCAGGTGGAAGACGTCACCCATTTTGATGGCAGTAACTAGTGTTTTTGTAACTTACCAAGATTCGCTTTGTACGATCAGCTTCCCATCCTAAATCCTTCATGATGGCTGAAACTGATGTGTACCCATTGCCCTGAAAAATATGGTCCACCATTTAAGTTTCATCATTGGAAAATCAATCACAAAAGACACCTTGTCAGGATGCTCAGATTACATCCACCTGAGCAATGAGGGCAGTGAAAGCTGCAGAAAGTCCACTATATAAGAAGGAACAATATATAGGTTGCGATTTCTCGCTAATCTTCATGCTAAGTAAATGAGCAGATGGGGTTGCAATTTCAGAAAGTCTAAAAGACCAAACCTGAGCCAGCTGAAGTGCTGCAGCATGATCCATGCTCAGTTCTCCCGGCACTGACTGGACCAGCCGTTTGTTACCAACTGGTAGAATTTGAAAACCACTGCCCATCACATGAAGTTTTTTTATTGCACGTGCCAAGTCATCTCTGCAATGAACAAGATCAAATGAAAGCTCCTCACTAAATGTCACTAATATTTCCCAGTAACTTGCTGAAACTAACATCAATGAAATGAATAGAAGTATAACTTCTTTCATTACTTTGTATCATACATGTAGGGCCTCAAAGGGCCCCAGCTAGCTACATAGCTCTCTGCATGTATTGTGCCTTCTGCACGTGTTGCAGGCCTATATATATTTTTTAAGGCTTTATTGGGTTTGCTGGACCAATTCTCATTCATTTTATGCTGGAGATCTTGGGTTGCATTTATTCAGTATTCTTGTTTAATATTGTAATACCCACTCAGATACATCTTGTCTGGATTTGCTCGTTTTCAGGACTTTTTTGTGCAATTCGTCCAGTGCCATCAAACCTGTCAAGCACAAAAAATTACAATTTAAACCTTGCAACAGAAATTATTAACTTAAGATTGCTAAATAAATGAGAATTAAAAAAATTAATATTATATATATTGACAAATATCTGCACTAACCTCCATTTCGTGGCCTTGTTGCCATGCAGATCTCAACAATTTGAACACCAAGCTATTAGTTAAAATGGCAAAATATATTAATAATGAACTATTTTCATAATTTTTGTGAATATAGCATTAACACTACTATTGAAAAATACTATAATTAGAGTTGTCTGAGGTTTTGATGTTGCTGACATCATTGCCAAGGTACAAAAGACAGTTTTATCATGTTGTGAATTAAAATTAGTTGAACTAGACAGTATAATAGACATTTATTTTGCTTATTATTTAAAAATAGTCCCTTAAAATGTGTGCAATGAAAGTTTGGTGTTCACATTAAAAAGACAGTGCATTAGACCCAGCAGGATGAAAATTGAGAGTCTCTACACACCTCATAGTAAAAGTCTCCCACACCGAGTAGCTCTGCCCAGAAACCTTTGCTCGCTAAGATATAAATGACAAGCATTTTGTTTGAGACCTGACAAAGTGATGGAAATCTAATTCCTAAGGGTGGCTAAGGGTTTATGCATGGCACCTGATAGGGACTATTGCATAATGCATAAAGATTTTGTGAATTTATGAAAAACCATTGGTAAAAGCAGCTAAAAGTATATGTGAAGCGTGGATTTTATTACAAATTATTTGTGTGTGAAACATGATCACACCCCCTTTTGCTATCTTCATTCCCCTATACCACTTCTTTCAACATGCCAGCAAAGGAACAAAGAGAAACCAAGACTGCACGCCTCTAGGCTGGGAAGTGATGAAAAGACAGACACTGTTGTAGTCATGTATGATTTCGCAGCATCTTGTCATTTGATGCCTCAAACTGCTTCATTAATATTATTAGAAATAACAACTGTAGCTTACTAAAATCAAACTTGACTTCACTTGAACTCATCTTTTTTTAAAAAAATTGACATACATGCCAGTGGGTCGACACCAATGCGAGCACACATCTGTTGAAAGTGACCTCTAAACTCTGGGTTCTTCTTGATTTCCTGTTTGTACTTTCCTGCAAAGTCTTCAAGAGATGACTTGAAGGAATCCAGCTGTTTTCCCATCTAGCAAAACAGACGGTTATGTAATTAATTATAATATTGTAAACTGATGTTGTGAAGTCTCTGCTTGGGAAGGAGGACAGATCTGATCACTTGCTGGTTTGTATAACTGTGTATGTACTCTTTTTATTTTAACTTATTTTTGTTCATTTAATTTCTAGCTGAGTACAAATAAAGTTGTCGTTGTTGCTGTTGTTTGGCAGCAGCTCTGCATTTCTGAAGTTAAACAAAAAATCATCATATTACAAAAACTAATTTATTTTACTTGTGATAGCTGGATGTCTGCTATTTCCGTTCCCTTCGTGGCATACTTTTCCTGAAAAAAAAAAAAACTAGCTCAAAAGTTAAAAAAATAAAGGTAGAATGAATTACGGTCATTCAGTTTGTTCCACTGTTAAATCGCCCCAAGTCAGTTCGCTCCAACCAAAAGTTAGATCGCTCCACACAGGCTAGGCCGAGTTCGCTACCTCAACTAACCGAGTTTGGCTTGGCAGTGGATGAAAGAACGAGGAAAGATCTATTGAGCGAAGTCACTGGATACCAGATTAAGTCTCAACCATTTTGAGTACTTTTGAACTCCGCTACCAGTATTTACCCTCGCAAGACGTTGCCTGTTTATTGCACCAACTCCTCCTGGCCCTCTACGCATCTTGAAACTTGAATTTTCTTCCCTAAGACAACCAAAATTCAGGCATTCCAACAGATGTTTCTCGACGTTTTTCTCGAACTCCTTTCCGCCATTTTCAGCGGTGCTCCATAGGAAGTATAATTCCCATAATGCATATGGGGCAGACGACACGTGCGCACTGACACTCAGCAAGACAAGATGGCGGACACCGGGGCAGTAATAAGCTTGAAGAAACTCAAGGTATTTTCATTTCTTTGCGAGGTTTAAGTGAGAGCTAGTCGTGAAAAAATAATGTAATTGCTACTATTGCTCACACATTTTTCATAATTTCAGTGTTAAATGCTAACATGCTGCGAAGACGCTTGTTTACAACGAAGTGTGTAATCGTTGAGTTCTGACGGTCGCGGGTTGCTCTATACGTGCTTCAGTTGCTTTCAGTTACGAGCATGTATTCTGGTTTTGTAACATCCATCGGCAGCATCTCATTGAAGAAAGCTTGCCCTGTACCTAATCTACAGTTAAAACCGTGCTTCCTTACCTAGGGATGAAAACATTGACTGCTAAACGACACCATTGTTTTGTTTATCCAGTGTCTCAGCTCATTAACCGAATGACTTATCAAAAATTTTGTTATTTCAAAGGTAGCTGAGTTAAAGAAAGAGCTTGCAGATCGTGGTCTTCCAACCAAGGGCAACAAAAGTGATTTACAAGCAAGATTAGAAAAGTGTCTCTCAGAACAAGGTGAGTGTGGTTTCTATAACAACATAAAGCTCATGGCCTGATTGGCTCAATGCTGTTTTTTTCTGGATATTAAGTTTAATGTACTCAAGTAGTCAGACCTCCCTTCTATAACAGAAACATTTCTATTACCATTTACTCTGTAAAGAAGGTATTGATAATAATTAAATAAATAAATAGTGATAAACATATTTTATTGTCAGGGATTGTTTATCAAGATGAAACCGAAGAGATTGCTGATGACCATGAGTTAGACAATGATGCTGATGACTTGGATGATGACGACGTCACAGAGGATGTGCCAGAGCATTTTGATGATGACTTGGACATAGAAACAAAAGAAAAAGAAATCAACCAGGTGACTTTTTGATGTGGGAAACTTATGGACAGTGTTTTCAAACTCTGGCATGTTCTTGAAATATTTTTTAAATTTAATTCTTTGGTTGACAGTGCAAATCAGTATTATGAGCAGAGGACATGCAGTAAACTAAAGGGTCAATGTGCTGGACTTTGTATCAAGTAGTTTGAGCCGTGGCCAGGTTCTTGTGCAACACCCTTCCCTCTCACAGTGCCTCTCTCCTCACAGGTGCATAGATGGGTCCAGCAAAATGCTGAGAAAGGGATTGGGGAGGGGGTTCACACTGTGATGACAAGCCATCCCCCTTCTGGGGAGGGGAGGGGCAGGCTGATAGAAATACTTTAGTTTACCTTTAATATGACGCACATCCTGTTCGTTCAGTCCTGTTATTGACAAGAGGAGAAGGGAATGACTATGAATTCATGTGGCACATCTAACTATTATAGTTAGAAATTCCTTTTTGGGTTCACAAAATTTGTGACTTTTGTGAAGTTTTAATCAGAGTACTTACATTCAATTGGCAATTTTTTTTCCAGGATTTGACGGCAGAAAAAGATGAAAAACAACCACTAGTTAGTCCTGTGTAAGTATAAACCCTGTAGATATGTTTAAAATCTTTATACACAAGTCTGTACAGGTGGTTTTAATTTCATTCAATTATTATATTGTAGCATTGAAGGTCATTGTACTGGACTGCTCCCATAAAACAAACATCAAAATATTTTTGATAATATTGTGGAAGTGTGAACTCTTTTTTTCTACTCTCTTTTTCTACAGTAAAAGGGTGCCCATTACACCCCCAGGAAAAACTCCCAGTCAAGGTACCCTGACCGATGAACAGGTAAATTTATACAATGTGTATTAAATACAGCAATTTGGGGAAAGGTTGTCTCATGAAAGTGTCAAGCCTATGTGACAAGATTGAATGGTGGTCTGGGTATTCATTGAGATTTTGCATACCGGTGTAGAGGAAATCTATGAATTTGTATTTTTGTGTGGGAAGTATTAGCAAGGATACATTACATTTGTAGGTTTTCCACTCATACAACCTGTAGCTTTTCTTTCCCTCTTGCATAACTTTTAGTTTAAAATAACTTGAAAAGTCAGTGTGGCTGAAAGAACCCAAAGTCTGAAGAAAAAGAAAACCTAAGAAATGACATTTGCCGTGTTTTTGTTTTATCGCATTGAGCATTTAGCATGTGCAGCAGCTTTCTATTTCTACCCATACTAACTTTCAGGGTTGTTGCGTGGACTTTTACGCTTTATTCCGACAACCTTTTTCAAAACAGCTGTATGTAGTATTCAGCCCTGTCAGTAAGTGCTGGCAGCTGGTAATTTGGCTGCCAACAGTTAATTACAGTATTTGTTTTCCTCTTCACACTGGAGTTTGCCAATCTGACTGTAATAAATCCACATACATGCATGTCCTTTATTGCTTACTTCTTTTGTTTTCCTGCCTACTATGTACTACACAACATTTTGACAGGGCAGAGCATTCTGCACCAACCAGAAGTATAAGAGTACAATACATGTAGCACTCAATGCATGAAAGTCATTTATTAAACTTAGTTATCAATTAAATTAGTCCTTGAAATATTTGGTTATTTTGTTGTTTGATAGAAAAAGGCTCAAAGATTGGAAAGATTTGGCCAATCTCCCCCAGTGACAGATACTGACAAGAAACAAGCTAGAGCACAAAGGTCAGTCCTAACATATCACTTAACCCTTAAAATTGTATTCTAATTATTAACTACCCTATAGAAGAGTTAGTCAACAGGTATGGATGTAAATGGTAGTTAAATAGAAATTTGGTGGTTCATTGAATTGCCATCATGATCATTGTCATTTCCAAATCCCCAACTGGGACATATGGTCTTGCCTTACAATCTCTCTCTCACTGTGATTCTCGGCCCTATGCACAAACCCCAGCATCACACCAACCTTTTTCACCAAACTCTTACCTCTAGGTAGTGTTCTTTTCAAGGTCTCTTTGGTCTTCCTCTCTGACAACTGCTTAGACCGACACTGCCTGTGCATGTACACTTTGCGCACTGGCTAAGAGTAATCTGTACTCTTGAATGTGATGCACTTGACTGTATCAAGCATTACCACAATTTCAGAGGTCTTGTTTCATTCAATACTAGCTGTATTATTTTATGGGCAAGAAGTTCTTCATCATGAGAAGAAACTGGACTTCGGATGTTTAGTAGTAATTGAGTACTACACTGCATGAAGGTGGTAAATTCAAGGCAGTACAGTTTGATTAAACAAGTTTCATGGATGTTTTTTTCAGATTTGGTTTATCAAGTCCAGCCAGTAATGGAACAGCAAAGAACTCACCAATCATTGGACCAAAGGTAAATTCTAGTTCCACGTATAACTTTGAAAAGACCTTGATTTTGATGGTTGCTGATAACTGCAGTCACATGGTATGTCTTCATGTAAATTTCAAATCATTCATACATACAGTATTCCTATGAAAAATTGTTTCTTTTCCTTAGCCATGGTCAACCTTGATTGACCTCAACCTAGTCCATTCTTTACATTTCTTCTTTGCAACACTAATGAATATATTTATGTATTGAAACTTACCTTCTCTTTAATATGCAGGATGTGGATGTTGAGAAGCTTAAGAAAAGAGCTGAAAGATTTGGTGCAGTTTCCCCTTCGATTGCTAAGGTAAACAATACTTCATTCTCAAGGAAGAGTTAGTGTGATCTAGTGTTGTTACTCGTCATTTAAGAAACTGAGTTTACCTTGTTTATAAGGATAAATGTATTTAAATTCCAAACAAGTACAATTTGTACAAAATATATTTGTTTTCTAAATCCTTAAAGATGATTTCCAGTTCATACTGCACAGTTTCAGCACCCTAATGTTTATAAACATAAAACAACCTCACTCGATAGAAAGTGAATCAATGTTATTTGTTACCAACCACATACCTTATCTTTGAGGCCTTTCAAATTCTTTTTCCAACCGCTTCTTTGACTTTTACAGCTGCAAAGTTGTTTCATCAAGTGATAACAGAGAGAATGTAAAACCTAAAGCTTTACATCCATAATGGTGGTTGACGTAAAACTTTGAATTTACTTCATGCAAGAAGTTGCACAATGTTTATATTTTGTGATGTCATACATGAAACAAAACAAAAGATGCAAACAAACTTGAGAGTGCGCAGTATGGACTGGAAATCATCTTTAAAAGGAAACACACCTTAGAACATTATAAATTGTGCTACTTTGGTTTTAAATCTTGATGATCTCATTCACAGCTTGAAGAGAAAGACAAGTTACTGAAAAGAAAACAGCGCTTTGGTGTTGCTGTAACAGCATCACCTGGAGATATGTCAGAAGTGAGTTTATAAGACTGTAAACATTCCTTGTTTCACGTTTCATTGAACCAATGTAAAATAGCCATTTTTTCTGTGGTAGAAGTCATTGATGTACTTATTAAGTTTCTGCTTTTGTTCTTTGTCAGGCTAAAAAGAAAAGAGCTGAAAGGTTTGGGCTCTGAGGCAATTCTCAAATGGTTGCCAGTCTCACAGAACTAGTTAGTACTGCAAGAAGCTGCCCGATGTTGTGTCCCAAGCATGTCTTTAACACCCAGTGGGTTAATTCACTGCTTTTGTATCGAAAGCAGTAATTCATACAAAAGAAAGACCAGAGGGGACCTTTATAATTTATACTTTAATGTACAAGTGTACAGTGAGCACTAATAATAATGGGGAGAATCATAAAGCCTTGTGTTTACCAATGTCACATGGAAGTCGTGTGAAGTGCTCGAACAAGCTAATGTTTGATGTACTTTCTTGACTGTGGTGATGCATTTTCCATGGAGATGGCTGCTCCATATAGCTGCATGGTGGCTTACATGTGTATCTTGTTATGAATGGCAACAGTAGAGCCTGTGTACCCATGAATGGCTGTTAAATTGTATCAGAATTTGAGGTAATATGTTAATGATGATTATTTTTTACATTAATCCAATGCTTTATTGAAATCATTTTGGTATCAGTGATTATTCTTATTAGTCAGTCAAAGCACTAACAATCCACATAGAAAGTATTATGCATCTCCGTGTGGTAATTCTGAATTAACCAAAGCAGAGGGAAAACCAACATTTCGATGGTTAAGAACATGTATCTCAGATTTCAGTCACAAACTGTTCAGTCAGAAATTTAGGCAGATTGGAACCTAAGCTGTAACTTGCTTGTTTTTAGTTTAGCTCATTTCTGATCTTACTTTTTACATGTAGTTCTGTCACTTTGCTCATATTCTCGTGTCTCCTTGAAAGACCTTAATTCACATTGGGGGTGTTTTCCGATTGACTTTTCTTCCTGGCAGTCACCCCTACATAACAAGCACCTGGGTGTGATCCTGGCAAGAGAGAAAATAGTGATGCCAATTTTTAACTCCTTGGAAGTAGACTACCCTTAAATATGATTGCTACTTCAGACACTTTTCTGGCAAAAGTAGCTTCCTCTTGCTTAAATGTAAACAGTATCAATAGAGTTCTGATCTGTTGCTTCTCAATGTCTCTCCTGTATTCTTTTGATGCACAAGTCTGATTTTACCAAAATGCAGTTTACATTCTTCTTCACTGTGTTTTCCCATACATCTATTTAACTAGGCTGACAACACCAAAAGTGGTTTTGCAAAGAAATTTTACATGCATGGAGTTTTGTAACCAGCTTCTGACTTACACTGACTTACTAATACACTTACCCACTAAAGGAATGTTGCATGTTTAACTTTTCTTTGGACAATTGCTTTAAAGCTCGTTTATCAGTATGACAGATCAATATCACTGCTTGAATTGCTACGTTTCAGATGATTGTCAAATCCTGAGCACTACTTTGTACAGTTGAGATCAGTTGAATAGCATGCATCTGAGGAGGTCACCCACCTTAAACCAGATTGGATTACAATAATTATAATAGATGCTAGTTACTTTGTGAGCAATATTAGGGTTACTGTTTAATGCTTCAGTTTCAAAGAGAGACCTGCATGACTGTTTTCCAAGCAGAAGAATAGAAAATTGTCATCTAGGGGAATATTGTTTTGATGTACTTCCAACTTCTCAAAACTAACCTCGAGAGAATAATTCTGTACTGCATAAAACATGGTGATTGGATCACTGTTCTTATGTAGCTAGCAAGGCAGTGATACTACTGGTACCAAATTCTTGAAGGGCACAGTTAGATTCATGAAGCTCAATCACTGCCTGGGAATCCCAAGATAATGTTTGACTTCTCGAGCAATAAACAAATGATTGGCCTTATTAAGAAGCTAGAATAGCTAACGAGGATGGCAATGGATTTCAACATAGAGAAACTTAAAAAACGCAGAAGTTGAATAGTACTGTACGTAGATGATTTACTGCACAAGGCAGATGTTTCTTTTCACGACGTCTGAAAAAGAAGGCTACATACTTACATTATTCAAGTAAACATATCATGCTAAACGTTTGGACATGCTTCGACAGGTTGTATGTCTGTTTGGTAGCTGTAGTTTGAAAGGTTTTTAAAGGAGTGTTCTAGGTAATATCTTCCCAAGGCAATATATAAGCCAGATGTTTTCCTTTTAGTTGTTGAGCCAGTCTTGTAAAACTGGTGGAATTTTTCACTTTGCAGTCGTGTCCTATGTGAAACATTGAGGATATTTTAGTCCCCCATAAACAGATCATTACCTCCAGAGATGCTGTCGACAATTCACTTTATTTTACCATTTCTGAGGTTTAGGTTTATAACATTAACGTTACGTAATTAGATATCCACATTGTATTTCTACGTTCACCTTCACTCTACGTGCATTGTCATGCGACACTTTAGAGGAGAGGGAGTAAGGGCGACTCTAGATTGTGTTAGATAGCTTGAATTTTTCAATTGTATTTACGATTTCTATGGAATAATAAAAAAAAATACTTTCCCAGTCTGAATGGTATCGTTTTTGTGTGGGATACCTATGGTATTCCACAATATTGTGATCGGCTCGTGTCCGTTAATGCAAATGAGGTATCCCACACATGTACCCTTGGGGTACCTATTCTCTTTTTTTTTTTTTTTGGTTGGGGGGCGGGGATACTTTATTCTGATTCAGAGTCAGACTGATCTGTCACAAAAATAAAAACAAAACAAAAAAACAAAACAAAAACAGGCTCTGCCCTTCACGTCAAGAGTCACTTCACAATCTCGTTGGAGAACAATTTACACGGTGTATGCATCATGCTCTCGACACGGATTTTTTTTTTACGTCACGGCCCGCTCTATAGGCACAACGCAACAGATGACAATGTTGTATTACCCAGTGCAACTTACAACCCGTCGTTTACGATTTGATAGCACTAACAGTTTCCGAGGAAGTAATCTTAACAAAATGCCCACATGAACCATAGGTAGAAATGAGAAAAGCGTTCGACTATCTAGATAAAACTACACTTTATTCTCTCGGGTAAACGTGTCGTCCTTGGCAAATTCTCGTAAAAATGCCCGAAGAGTTATCGCACAGACGTCAACGCCGTTTGTATCACTATGAAACGTCGCAGAGCAATATCACTGTCAAAACCCGCGGGTTCGGGACGGGATTGTGACTCAACTGTATCCACTTCTTTGTAGCCGTTCCCTTAGCTGCTGTTTTGAGCTGGAAATTTAGCACATCGCCTCTTTCCACAGCAGGTTCGTCGACTATTAAGTTCCAACTCTTCTCACTTCCAAAGACGTCTTGATATTCATGCCCGCCAACTCGGCCACAAGATAACGGAAGACGTAAGGGAAAGCTAACAGCTGAATGTGTTCGCTGCTTTCACAAGTTTTGCAAGTCCACTTCCGTTCTCTGTGCGCAGCCGCAGCTGCCAACTCAACGGCAGGTTTATCCAGGAGAGGAGAGAGTATACTGCCACACTTAGTACACACCTGACCCTAGAGGGGAGGAAAGGGTCATTTGGTCAGACATACGTGAAGTCCTATCTTTTGGTTCATCACGCAATCTTTCTCCGAAGATTGTGTGACCAGCCCTAGGAGCCTACCTGAAGGCTGAAGGGGAGACTAGATTTCGGCAAAGGAAGTAAGTTACACTGACGGAAGATATACTAAGATATTAGACAATTCTTACCACTGTTTTGTCTGAGCAGTTCATGAGTCGATCTTGCAACAGAAACGATGTACCATGCGCCAGGAGGGCGTCCCTTTCCATTTCACCAAACCGAATGCCTCCATGTCTTTTACGACCCTGAAAAGTGAACGTGCGAGTACTGTCAGCCGTAAATGTATGTAATCACAATTTGCCTTCAACAGTTTACAGTATTAGCAACCTGAGTGGTGGTAAGGAATTCGATCAACAAGCGCGATCCGGAAAAAAGTCCGCAAGAAAATTAGAGGCGAGCCGTAAAGTAATGGCAGTTATTTTCCCGCTTGATTCTCTTGCTTCTCGTTCAGCAGTCTGACAGTTAAGTGGACTGTCTGAGGTCTGGGCGGACAATGAAGAAAGGCAAAACAAGCGAGAGAGACGAACAGAAAACGTGAACCACAATCATGAGGGGATTAAGAGAAGCTTCCTTCTATCCAGCTCCCTCACGGTCGTCCTTTCCGGGCGGTTCTCTTCTCTCCTATCCGCGCGTAGAATACATCAGTGTAAGTACAGTGAGTACAGTAAGTACGGTGCAAACCATTTTGTTACACCAAGGTCCTACCCAGTATCAGACTGTTGGCGTTATCACGTCGACCAATGAACAGGCTGTGTCTCACAATAACAACCAATAAAACACTGGTTGAAGTCACGTGACACATTGTCCATAGCCAATCAGATGACACGCATAAAGTGATGTCATCACTTACTGGTGACTTCAGATGATAGAAACACAAACGGATAAAAACTGTTACCTGCACTGGCTGATGAGTTAGTATGTCTATGGGGCCTGTTGTCCGAACCTGAAAAACGATCAAAACAATAATTCCTTGCAGTGTGGCGCAAATCTAGAACCCTTGTAGCGCACGATCTGTTACGATTAGTTGCGCTTAAAACCCATCTGTTCAGCTAAGTACAAATGCCATTCCAGTGTCAGACACAAGTTTTTATCAAGCTGACTGCTAAACAAGAAGAGCCTGTGAATGACAACCAGTAAAACACTAGTCGAAACCACGTGACACAACTGTGAGAGCCAATCAGATGACACGCATAACATGATGTCATCATTCACTGGCGCGAAACCTCTCGACAACGAAACCAAAAGCGAGTACAATGGGAGCGGAGGGAGAAGGCTTTATTTTACCTGATACTTGTCTGCCACCATGTGCCTCAGTCGCTGATAGTAAACTACTCCAAAAAAGATGTCAACTTCAAACTCACGGCCGTCCGTGCCACTGTACATTCGTTCTGTGCCGTAGTAATTGTACCCGGCTGAAAGACCAAGACTTGAGTTAATGTTAAAAACTATCTCCAGCTTGGTCAACGCTCAGATATGTTCACTCAAAATTCTACAAGGATTTTCGTCGCGAAGTTAAATGGTTTCCCAATGTTTGACCCGCCCTCAGCACTCTGATCGAGCATTGTGCATGAGGAAAAATGGTTAATTTTTTGCTTCCAAGTAAAATTTTCACGATAATGTAATATATCGTTGGTTGAAACCGCTTTGTCTTTTAGCCCGGGTTTAACGAGTCTGTTCTCAAACGACCCCCTTAAAATCAGGCAAAGATTTCGCGAGCAACACAGTGGTTTATCGAGTGCGTTATACATCTGAGTTCATGTCTAAGCCGTCCTCTGCTAACCAACTACAAGAAACCACCGAATTCTAGCGGCGAAAATTAGCTGTTTCCACCTAGACAAATTCAGCAGAAGGAAAAACCATACATTGTGTCAAGAGGTTTCCAAAGTAATCAATAGCAGGATCCTCTTCTGAGAAGGTAAATGGTGTAGCATCATACGCTAGTCCATTGAGACTGGCGGATTTACCAGCCATACTCTCTATCATCATACCTGGACAAAAGAAAAATATAATTTAAATATAAGCGGAACCACGAAAATCGGAGTAATGCACCCAGCCTAATGGGTAATATAGACTTGTAAAGAGACTCGAGGCTGACCCCAACACATAACCACATTTACGGGAAATGACGGTATGTTTAGACTGATATTTTGACAAGGTCCAGTTCAAACTTGGCTGTGGTGCTTGTGTTCAGGCTTTACCTGTAGTCATATAAATCGGTGTCATTGTGCTCTGATGACACCCATTTTTGAGAGATCTTTCCTTTTGCATTCAGACTAACGAATTGCTGATTTTTAAACCATTTTTAACAAACTAATTTGAATTCAAATCTGTAGTAAGAACATAGGTTTTAGAAGAGTTCTTTGGGAGCAGATCCGAGACCCCCTATGTGGCCAAGGCCTTGACCAATTTTGGCCGGTAAAAATTACTTTCAAATTGAGCGAAACCCGAAAATAATAGTTTACTGAGATAAAAAAACACCAAAGAGATGATAACAAACCATAAAGGAACAAGGATGGTTAAGGATGGAGAAGATTGAAACGGATTACAAACGACGAACTTGAAAAAATTAAGCTAAGCTTTCCAAGATGCGCAAAAAGCGCGACGTAGCTGTTTTAAGTGTTTGAGCCCTTACCGATTGTCATACGAGAGGGAAAGCCGTGAGGATTAAATATGATATCTGGAGTCATGCCTGATTCTGTAAAAGGCATATTCTCAATTGGCCATTTCTGGCTGAAAAGAAAAAAAAATACAATGAGGATAAAATATTCCTAAATTACTGACACTTAGACCTCCCGTAAATTGAATACTGAAACCCTTTAGAGAGCCTTTGCGCAACATGATGCAAAAAGTTCCAAACAGGCGCAAGTGAAAAATATTCAGTGCAAACACTGTGATACAGCAGTCGCCTTAAGAACTGATTTACTTGGCAAAGAAAGACATACCTACAAATTCCTTTCTGTCCATGCCGACTTGAGAACTTGTCTCCAATAATTGGGTTCCTCTGAAAATAATACGTCAGATTATATGACAATTAGGTCGTTTTACATTTCATTCCGTGATTGTTTTTGAGCAGTACTTTCATATGGTTCTGTGTATTACGCTGCACAAAGGAGTTCAAACGTTTAAGTCTCCGCATGAAACCCTAGCTTGTGGCCATTCACATGAAACTTTCATATGGTACTGTTCATTATGCTGTACAGAGTGGTTCAAACATTTCAGTTTGCGGATTAAACCCTAGTGTGTGACCATTCAAATGAAAGCTATTAAGCTGTACTTTCACGTGGTACTCAACTGTTCATAATGCGATACAAGGTGGTTGTGACGTATGCTACTGAGAAGTGGTACTGTGCGTCAAACGAAATTATTCGTCATACCTGTATTCTTAATTTAATAGCAACTTTTTGGAGTGAAGCAGTGCCGTCATCATTTCCAAGAATTTTTACCTAAAAAGGTAAGATAACAAATACAGCTATTCATTTTGTCTACAAGAATTGGAAAAGACCAACATTACTTTAACCGCTCGCCACTCGCATTTGCCAGAGTACCAGACACCTCAACATGCAGGCATATTTTCTGTATTTTTATACAACCATACAGAGCTTTGAATTAAGGTCGACACACTCTAAGGGACAAGTTGAGGGGCCATGAAGCGGGAATATGTTACAGCAACGGTTGTCCCCGTGTGACATGCCCGTTTTTGCAAAAAAGTTATTGTGCAGAAACAACATTTTGACCCCGCAACATGCTGCATAAGATCCAGCTGGTTTGAATCCGTGCATCGAGGCAGGGGCAAAATGAACTCAGTTTTCAATGTCGAATGGTATATACAGCTCTAGCAACCTGTCCCCGCTACAACATAGAAATAAACCGTATTCACTTCGTGTACACCAGCTCGCGCACTATCACTGCTAGATGTATCCTATGCGTACAAACAAAGGGACTTTTCCTCTCTTCACATTCCTGCATTATGTTCCCTAGTGTGTGCCGAACTAAACACACCAACAAATGAGAAGTCTGCTACTTACATCGTCAACAATCGCGCTTTCCAAGCTGCTGTATTTCTTGATGTTTACTTGACCAGTATTGTCGTCAATGTAACTGGGATAATCGAAGCAGTGAATATTTTAATTAAGAGACAGCTGACTGATCCTAACTCTAGCCCTAAGGAAGATGGCACTACTTAAACTACTAACGACTGCTTTATATACTCTCTTAGAGATTCAGTCCTTGCCAACCAGCGAATTGTCATAATCGTAATCCCGCTCGAAAAATGTAGCTTGAAAACTCATTTTGCGACAACTAAACCGAAACCGTTGAAAAGCGCGCAAAGTTTAGGATCGAAACTAACCAACCAACAAATGGCAAGGTTTCCTGAGAGGTTGGCAACTCCTCGCACTTTGTTGGGTTTTCAATTTTGTTAAGATGCGTTGTTCGTATTCTTCAATGTTAATGGTTTATTTGAGAAAAAGATCGCCATCCTTTGTTCTCAAGTAACGTTCTCATTGGCTAAATCTTTTCCAAGTGGCCCGGTTAGAGTAGTCACACTGTAATATTTGCCTCGAAGTTCTAAGTTCCATAATGATGTAGGTTGTAACTTATATCTTGAATGGCAACGACACAAGATTGAAGGTACTCCACACCACAGCGTTATAGAACAATATTGTAAGTCTCTGTAAAATAGCTCAAAGAGTTTGTTTATTTTTCAGCCAAACAAATTTCCTGAATTATTGACAAGCCTCCACAAAGCAAGTGATGCTAATAACTGACCAGTATCAGACTTGACGTCTTATCAGGTTGACCGAGAGCAATTACGTCACGTGAATAACAACCAATAACACACTGACTGAGATCACATGACGCGCTACCCTGAGCCAATCAGATGACACGCATAATATGACGTCATCACTCGCTGGTCGTTATTCTAGCAACTTGTAACTTGTAGAAAATTGCACGAATATAAGAGTCAAAATTTCCTTTTATTCTTTGTGCGAATTACAATACTAACTGTTATTATAATTTCAACCCATGTGTTATTTTTGAGAAAATGACTTCATTTACTCCAAATCGCAACCAGGACTTGGAACATGGAAAATTAATGGCGGCCGTAACTTCTCAGAAATAAAAGGTCCAAAAAAAGCGAGTTCTAATGTTCGTAATAGATTGAAATTTGGCAAGATATCTAGGAAAGACCTGTTGTGTACGAAAATGTAAAAAAATGGATATCGCAAATTTGATCATAGGGGCACTTAAATGGCAGAGAAATTTGAGGAATGGAATGGTGTAAAAAAATGTTAGAGTCGATACTACTCCAGTTCAGCTCTCAATCACGCAACGTTACGCTCTCAGGAGAGAGTCTGTCCTTAGAGCGTCGCGTTGCATAACACAGAGAGGGCCAGAACTGACCAGACTCGATACTAGTAGCCAAGCTAAAGATGCAGCGATTGATGTATAGATAACACGCATCACTATTGTTACTGTAAGTATCGAATCAAGAAATTCACTCTATATTTTCAATGGTTCCTGATCTTGGTAGAAACGTTCTCTCAAAAATATTTCCGCAGATTGAGATCAAGTGAACGGTAATTTTCAACTCGTTTCCTTGCCAGTGAGGTAGTGTTCGTTAACCAGTTATACAGGTTTGTCACCAGTTTCACAGATTTCTTACCAGTAACACGGATTTGTCACCAGTAACACAGGTTTCTTACCAGTAATACGGGTTTCCTGTCTCCAGCTTGGCTCCAATTGGTGGCAGACCATCAGTGTCGAGAAATCCTTCAACTCGTTTATCATCAGGAAGACAGCCTGAGAAAATAAATGGGAAGTAGTGTGTCCGCTGATGTGACATAAACCAAACAATTCCTGTTCTTTGGGAAACAAGAACTAATTTTTGTCAAAAGATTTCGGGCGGAGATCGGAGTAGATCGGGCAGAGTAGACCGGGAGCATTTAAAATTTCGCGACAACAAGGGCAACTATATTCAATACGTCTGAAAAGTTTTAATCCTTGCAAGGAACAAAATAATGACAAAACACTCACAAAATCTGAGGCTTGAAGCTTTCGTGTTTCCAGAGATTTTGACAAGATCAACTATCTATGAAGAAAGAAAGAAATATGAAGCAGTAAGATTCAGTTCATAGGTGATGTGACAAGAGATAGTAACCGTAGATTCCGCTACAAACCTCGCACTTTATCACGGTGCCATGAGCAAACCCACGCTCAAACGATGCTTTGTTAAGGATCATTGCATCTTCCATATCATATCCCTTCAAAAAATACAAACACAATGCGTTGTTAGCTGGGTTTGGTATCTGCAGGTTTTCGCTTATCTGACACCAATACAAAAGCTGATTGTATGTGAATCAAATCTAGGCTGATACAGTAACATAAATGCTGATGGTTTTATCAAAGGTACTGATCCGACATTAGGGAGTTTAAGAAACCAGGACGCGACGCCGAAGACAACGTCCATTAAAAATGATTTTATAGTTTACCTACGAATCTCGTGATACTCTTCCTTTGTTTCTTAGTGTCAAAACTATCACGAAACTGAATCTGGAACAGGGCGAAACATTTGAAATAAAAATAAAAAATTAGCCGTCGTGGTTCACGTTCTCTGGACAACGCAGAATTTGATCATTTCACGTTGTTGTTTTGCAGAGGACGGCAAAGAAATGTACCAATAATTATAACGCACGGGTACAGTCATTGTTCTTCTCATTAAACCGTTTGTTTAATGATGTTCCCGTCGTGGTTTCTTAAACCCCCTTTTATCATAGAGGAGACTGTTAAGAGCTTAGTGTTCTTCAGTTTAAAGCCCTGTTAAGAAATATTTAAGGTGTAGAAGCCAGTAATTGTTGTACAAAGTTAGTTATGACTGGTTACGGGGATAGTAACTGGAAAGAAAATTGAGTTCCAGTTGTGATAAAGTCGCCTTCGCCGTCATTGAACTTAAACTTACCGTGTAAGAGATAACAGCCACAACAGCATTTGTTCCTAAAGCGTAGTTATCAATGGATAACTCATCATGAGCAGCGGGTCTTACCAGAGGACTTTGCGGTGTCTGATGAAAACAAGATCATCAATAGAACTTGTACGCAATTTCTCTTTGGAAATAACTTTTGAATCGCAACTACGACTGCCTGTAGGACATTCAGGTGAACAGAAATCTTCAGCAAAGCTTAGCCTGTGTACAGTTGGATATTTGTCAGCATTCTCAGGCTAGCTCAAGCAGGACAATAACTAACACTGAGTCACACACATGTATTTTCACTCTCATAAGTTTGGTTTGGACCTGGTAGCTTCAAATAGGTCACGATCTACGCCCTCTCAGTTAAAACATGACTGACTCAAAGCTAAAAGAATTCAAAGTGAAAAGAAGTGGAAGTGTGGAAAAGGTTTTATCCATCCATTGTACTTAAAAGCCCAATGAATACATCATTACTTTGATTCGTTGCAAGCATGTCAGCACAACCCAATGGGGTCCCCCCTCACCTGTATCCTGTAGAGTTTGTTATCACCGCGGTGTTTCAGTGCCTGAGCTGGTGTTCCCATTGTTTGTTTTCCCATCTAAACAACAAGTAGAAAACACAACGTGTGTGAGTCAATAAAGATTACAGTAACAGAACACGAGCTTACAGAAGAAATACAACACATGTAATGTAATGTTCCAAGTAGTTTACCTGACACTGATACATGTTACGAGGACTTTGGTTAAAATCAGAGTATGGCGTTAAACTTGCAATGGCACTCAACATGCTTGTCTGTTTCAATTCAAGGTGAGTTGTTTCCTGGTAATGGCATAAAAAAAGGAGAAAAAAAGTGTTCTTCCGTGTTTAAGTGAGGTGATAGTCAGTAACAGAATAGTAGTAACACCTACACAATAGCACTTTTCACAGTAAATTTTTCACGTTTGCGTTACAATGTAATCCAATGTGATGTGAGGCAATTTCAGACAATACTACAAAATTGCCCAAAATTGCCTCAAATACAGGGTAGATTTCATTGTTATGCAAATGAGAAAAGTTAACTATGAAAAGCGCTATTCATTTCACATACATACCCCTTCATGCGATTCTTCTTGGACAACAGCAATGTTCATATAAACCTGTAAAAATAGATTCATTAATAAGTGTAGAAATCTGATGAGCCTGTGGTTAGATGTACAATATAAGAATAGAACTCTCTCCTTCGCAGAGACTGAAACATTCATGCATTTGTGGTGAGTGCACGCGTGGTGCGGTCCATTCAGCAAACTCTTCCCACCCAAAAAAATCCCTTTTGAGCCTCTGCGGAGGAGAGAGAGAATAGACTGCTCGCTTGTCAGCCCAGTTACAAAGAGTATGTAAATACACAGTGAGTGATAGGTAGAAGAGCCTCTTTGTGTTACTAGTTATTGTATGGTGTATGTTGCTGTTTGCCCCCCTCCCCCACCCAATACAGTGTTGAAACTCAGGAGGAGTGGGTGGGGTGGGGTGAGGAGAGGATGAGCAGGTGTAGCCTCAAATCATGCACAACTGTTTGTTTGGTGCCACAAGTGCAAATTTGTCCATGATTTGTGCATGATTGTTCAGTAGATTTCTACAGACTGACCTGCTCAAAAGTGCCAATCATTTCCACTTTACCAGCTGCCAGGTTGAAAACTGGCCTCATCATCCGAGCTGGAGTGGAGAAGAGGAAGAGGGTGGGATACTGACTGGCTACACTTGTAATAGGCACAAGACAGATCTCTAACATCTGAGGAACCTGACAGAAAAGGATGGCAAAAAGCACAATATTCTCAAATTCTCTGAATACTGATCATAACACCAAACTACTCTAAGAAAACATATTTCCCAAAATTTAATACATCATTTAAAACCAATACGTACCTTTTCTTGTCCAAGTACTTTTAACATCCGGAGCCTGTTTACAAGAGCTGGAGCAAGGTCCATATCAACTCTGCCAAGGACTCTACCATCCAATACAACTGTATAACAAGACTTCATATCAGCAGGCGCTGGGGCATCGTTCAGAGTCATCCCTAATGAACACAGGAGTCTGGAGAGATGGGCAGTCTGTGGTACAGTATTCACAACCTGGAGGTCAAGGAATAATTTTTTTACTGAGAAGTCAAAAAAGTGGAGGCACGCTAGCCTCTTGACAAGTGTGCTCGCCTCTGTATTGAGCAATCCTGGTTTGAGCCCTGGCTGAGGACATTGTGTTGTGTTCTTGGGTGAGACATTTTACTCTCACAGATCCCCCTCTGCCCAGGTGTATAAATGGGTACCGGTGATTTTAATGCTGGGGGTAATCCTGTGATGGACTAGCATCCCACCCAAAGGGGGAGTACTCCTGGTCACTTCATGCCACTGAAAGTGGAGATAAGTGTCGGGCTGATGGGCCACGTGGCTCGCATGCAGACTTTTTTTAAGTCAAAAAAAGTGCCAGCTTTCAGAGCTTTTCCAGCTTGACAACAATGATTAGACAACACTTTAGCAATTTTAGCATTTTTTGTTCCAAATTCAGAGGATGGAAGATCGACAAAATCGCTGGTTGAAGAATTTGTTAGGATCCCTTGTCTTTCAGTCAGATATTCCTTCTTCCAAATCCTAGAGTACTATAGTCACTAAAGGGACTGATTAACAAATGCAAGCCCTGCTGTAGTTGGAGGAAGTGCTCTAGATACATATAATCTGACACTAATTTGTAGGAACACAATTTGAACATTTGACAAGAACTCCTAAATTGACCTTGGTCCCAAGTTTGTAATAATCACAAGATTATGAACTTCACTCCGTCCATCACTGTGCATGTTTCTCTGTGGTTATTTACCTGGCAGGATGCAGCCATGTGGTTCAACAAACCACAAGGAGCACCGTCTGGAGTATGAACAGGACACAGGAAACCTAAAATATAAAACAAAAATGTAACATAACCATAAGGCTTCATCAAGTATCTTTTGGAAGAAAAGAACAGCGTCACTTTTGGTTAAAGCATACCCCAAGCTTCAGGCAATAATTTTCTGACAGATGTCGTTCTCATCTGGGAAAAGAAGGAACCTCTGTGGACACAGCGGAAATGGGACAGGAACCTATAAAAGTTGAGCCGGTCTGCTACAACTGAGAATCCTGAGACCTTCAATGAGAAAAATTCACTGTCAAAAAGGTCCATGGAAAGTAATTCAGCTGTAAAAATCATTGGCAAACAGAAAGAAGAACTTACAACACCATACAAATGAGAGAACACTAAATAATTTTGTTCCAAAAATTCACAAAATTAGCAACAGCTCTGATTGAATTTAAGGGCACTTGTTTGCCTCAAGTAACAAGTAAAAGAAATACATGTATACAGTCAAGTAATGTTTTCTTTTTTGTTTGTGAGAACGATCAGAGTGGAACTTTAAATCAAGACACTGAGCATTTGTCAAGTCTTGAGATTCAAAATTGGAGAATGGGGAGTTCTTAGCGATTTCATTAGACAAACAAAACATTCGTAATAATCGGTAACCTGCATAAGTCCATGACCTGATCTTGATATCAGATTTCCAGTAGCAAGAAGATACTCCATTTGGTGTGATATGTTTGCACCATATTGCATTGCTTGTATCAAAGTTGCTGTGAAACAACATAACAGAAGACAAATTACCAATTAAATCAGATCAGTGGAGGTAGATATTCACTGAAAGTTGGTAAAAGTTATTCACCAAGTGATCTGTTCATCAGAACTTTGATCTGGGAATTTTAAATCTAAGTCATCTGTACAAAGAGTTTTCTTTAACTTATGAAATCATAGCTAGCCAACTATTTGGATGATTTATACTGTGTGTGCAAAAAGTATTTGCCTGTATAATTTTTTGTTTTCCAGTAAATCACTGCATTGTGCTGCATGCAACTGTCTGCAGTTGTTACGCAGCTTCAGGCATTCTCATCCCCAGAGGCCACACTCCTGTTGGTCAGCACCAAGAATTGCAACCTCTTGCTGGACCTGATTTTCTGAGTATGTGCAGAGTATTTGTTTTGTATTCTTAGCCAACCAGATGTGCCAGATTTGAGCAGAAGTCCTTGAATCATATTATTAGAAGTCCTTGAATCATGGACTTCCAGTGTCTCTGCACATGCTCAGAAAATTGGGTCCGGCCAGAGGTTGTGATTCTTGGTGCTGACCAAAAGGAGCGCAGCCTTTGGGGACGAGAATGCAACTTCAGGCAGCTGCATAACATTGTAGTCTACATTGCCACGTACCACACTAGTACTCCAAATTCACTATCTTAAATAATACAGCACTCACCTGTATTTAAATGGAAATCTTGCTTTTTTGTCATAGCTTTCTCAAGGGCCTCTCGCACTCTATATAGCCAAAACTCTAACTTTTCCTGCCAAGAAAAAAAAAAAAATTTTAATTCCTGCCACTTTTGACTGGCATTACACAAGCTAAGTAATATTAAGTAATTTATTTTTATGGAATTTGCAATGTACTGTTCACATGCTCCAATGGATGTTGAGAAGTCTGTCACTTACAAGGCTTTTTATGTAAAGAAGAAATGAAAATCAATTGAAATACAGCAGATCCCCGCCTTACGGTCACCTTGCTGATACGGTCACCTCGTTATTATGGCCACTATTCTTTGTCAAAATGCCATGGATGCATTTTCTCATAAGAAAACACCATAAATGCAGTCACCCCGTTAATATGGCCGATGGCCACATTCTGAAATCCCAACCTGTATAATCCTTTATAATTTTATCCCATTTACACAGCCACTCAAACCAATGTTCTTCTTTCCAGTGTTAATATTGTCTGAATTGATTGAAGTTTAATTTTTTTAAAATTGTATCTGCATTCCAGATGCTTGTGAAATCTGTTAAGATGTCACTCAATTTAGACCAATCATGACATTTGATCCTACCCCGTTAATACGGCCACCCCATTGATACAGCCAAATGTTCATGGCCCGTTAGTGACCGTATAAATGGGGTTCCACTGTAGTTAAAATATTAATTTTTATAGTGATAATAAGTTACTTCAAAATAATTACGACCATCTTTCACACAAAGACCTAAAAATAGGCCTTTTTTTTTTCAAAGGCATTGATATATTGCTCTCCACTACCTTTAAACACATGAGATACAAGTGCCCACCAAGAAGTACTTCTTGCATCATAGGATTATCAGCTGACTCTGGGGAACACTTTTCTAGTGCCAATGCATACAGCTTCCTTGCCATAAAACTGAAAGATACAAATATCAAGCAGGAATTGTTGCAACATGCTATGCAATAAAGATATTTACAAAAACAAAATTAGTCCTGATGCACCTACTCAAAATGTTCTGACTAATGCTTTAAACTTACACCAGTAAATTAAACTTGTCCATGTTTCCATCCAGGTGAACACAAACACACTGTCTGAAATAAAGATACAACCATCCATAAATTTTGACAATGAGGCACTGGATTAAAATTCTTTACAACGATTTTCCTTGGGCTTAATTGCTGCAGGGAAGGTTTATCTATGAAGCTTACATAGGAAAAAGTCAAGAGGTAAACACATGCAAAGACCAAATGTTATTTTAATCATGATCATCTGAGCCTAATCTCTGAAAAAGATGCCTTGATATCTACCTGGTCATAGCCAAAAAACAGTTATGACTGAGGCAATCTCCTTGGTTAAATTCTCTTCCTACAGGTATTTAGCAGCTTTTTTACCTTTCCCCCTTTAAAAAAGAAAGTATAGAAACAAAAATATGACAGAGGCAAATGCCTCAGTTTGCCTGATACTGGCTATGGCCGTGTTGACTACCTTATAACATGAAATTTTTGTGACATGTTTATTCGCGATTTTGAGGTACACATATTTTGTGACACTTAAATTCCACGATTTTGCGAAAATTTTGTATTTTGAATCTCTTTCACCGCGCGGTTTTGAGTAACACACAATTTATTTCTGTGGCAATGTTACTTCAACATGTCCTTGAATTTAGTAAACCGATGTTATCAAAGGTACCATAACATCAAAATTAACAAAAACACAACAGCAGAACTATATGACAACAGTAACATAATGTAAGTTACTGAATTTTTGCATCATGTTATCTTTGCTAGACTTATTGTTGCGTCACTTTAATTTTGCAATTTTTTTTTTAAATTGCAAAATTCATGAAATTAACCTGTCATGAAAATATCATGCATTAAGGTACGGTCCAGGTTTCTATGCATAGAAGTTTATAAGTTCTCCTCCTTAAATAATCATTTTTTTGTTCCAGCAACCAGTAACACCTATTATTACCTAACTGATATGCCTCAAAATGTATCACTTACTGTAGAACATAATGAGCCACCTCTTCATCTGTGTACCAGTCTGGTAATCTCATCTTTACTCTAAATCTCTCTCCTAATGGAACATTGTAAACAGTGTGAGATAGGGACAGTAGCATGTACTACATGCTTAGACAGGAACCTACGGTAGGTTACCAGGTTGACTAGTGTCAAGTAGTATACTTAGGTGAACAATTTAGAGAGTTAGTACATGAGGGTAGATAACAAGAATGCTGGACATTGTCGAGGTAGATAACTGAGAAACTAGAAAGGAAGACAAGCTTGCAAAGGTAGGAAGGTGAATATCAAGAAGATACTTAGTAGATACGAAGGTACAGCCTTGCATACGGCTGGCAGGCCGGAAATTTGAATTGACCAATCAGGATTCAGCAGGCAGGAAAAACTTTATTGTCCTGACATCGATATAAGTTAACAGGAAAGGCATTGAAATCAGGCAAGTTTTCTCACTGGAGATGGCATTAAATATTCACGAAAAGGGATTTACAATTCCAAAGACCATGATAATTATCAGATTGTAAAAAGTGAAAAATGTGAAACATTACATGTCTCTGTCTGGCATTCATCGAGTGCCGCATTAGTTTGAACAAATTATGCTGTTCCTCGTCAAATTAAACCTGCAATTCTTAGGTTAACTATTCGAAGAAGCCAAATTGTCTTTATTTTTGTTAGTAGTGAAGAAAAAGGCTATTATCGTGTCATTTTGGGTTCGTTTCGGTAGGACAGCTTAGTTTGCCCACCGCTTGTACTGCGGGCACAGCCACTCCATGCAGGGAGTAGGACAGCAAGTTGGTAAGAAGTCACAGAGTTGTATGAGAAGCATGGGAATTCCATCTGCAGCCTATCATGGGAGTTCCATCTGCAGCCTATCATGTTCTCACATACCAATAAATTTGAGAATTGCCGGTTGTGTAGAAGCTCCTGCTGAATGGGCTGTTCTGAGCATTGTGGCAATGCAGCTTCATAAAGAGCAAATACAAATGGAAGAGTTAAAACAAGGCTGCACAATTGGTCTTAAAGTATATCTATTCAGTTAAAAAAAAAAAAAAAAAAAAAGCATGACTCATTCAATTTTGAATTATCGCAGTAAATTATACAAATTTTCCTGGCCACCAGCTCTTGCCATAAGCCAACTCATAGAGATGAAAAGAGTGTCCAAAGTGAATACTACTGACTTTTCAAAACACTTCTCGAACTCATTAATAATTCATCAAGTTAAAACAAAGAAAATCACGTAGGTGAAGGAGGTTTGGATACCCGGTCTTAATTAGCATAGATTTTGATGATTTTACTTCTACGTTAATTCCTTAGTTTTTGTTTTGATTGAGAAGATATATCAAACACTCAAGACAGTGTTTCATCTGTTATCCAAACACCTTGAATTTTGTCAAAAATACTCCACTGCGCATCATATTTTCAACTCTTTCCTCGGTGTTTGGATATCCCGATGAAACAGAGCAAATATCAACTAAAAGGGACTTTCAGGGCACTCAGTAGCTTTTTCGATAAGGTGGTCTGATGTGAATCTTTTGCAATACTTACTTTCAAAACGTATGTACAGGGTCATTGAACTGTTACCACTGAACTTTCAACTCCAAGCGAGAACAGGCAATCCTCTGGCTGTCTTGACAACCAGAGGGTGGAGATCTGTCTGTGGCCACCTCCTCATCTACTGAGAGCCCTGCATTTGCCCTGAATGTCATGCACTTTCAACTGGATATTCTTGGGCTAATCACTGTACATGGCACTTACTCTTTCAGGAAACTGTTATCCTCCTCTCCTGCGACAAGATCACAATAGATTTGGTGATCTGTTATATTTACCAAGGCCTTGAATAAGAAACCAGAAATTTTGGTAGATAAACATTTTTTTTCTACTAAATGTCAGATGGACAACACGTCCAATTTTTAATAAGCAAACTGCTCAATACTCACTTTTAGGATGAAAACAAGTGGAACATAAAATAGTTCCTTTTCATGGTTAATACAGATCATTATAACTCCATCTGATAAGTAATGAAGAGTCATGTTCTGCAAGACATAATAGTTAAAAAACAAAGTTTACAGCAAAAAAAAAATAGTCTTCCTATGTTTTCCCTATTCTTGACCCATACTGAGTGTGGCCAACAAGTTTGCTAAACAAATACTTGTCACAAATGATTGGCACCATTCAAATCAATAAGTAATCACCAGACCATGCCAGGAACACCTACAATTTGTTAAATAAATAAATAAATAAATAAATAAATAAATAAATAAATAAATAAATTAATTAATTAATTAATTAATTAATATACATGTACTGTGTGGTTCCAATGGGCCAATTAGTTTTGAGCTTCCACGAATCTTGGCATAAGAGAGAAAACAAATTACATGTAAACTAACTGGTTTAACGGCACACCAATAATTAAGCAGTTTGTTACCAATATAGCATGCCATGATAAAATTATATCCTTAGGCAGATTGATCATACATTCCGGTTATTGCCTTGTTACTGTGGAACAACAAAGAAGTTTACATAAACTACACTGTACAATAACACATTAACTAACTGAACTTGAACATTATGAACTATACAACAAAGTGATGTATTACACTGACCACAGCTGTCTGGTCCTTTCTAACTGATCTCATTTGTATTCCATATTCTGTGTATAAAGGACCTCTACCCTTCCAAGATGGTCGAATGACAGCTAATGGCTAAAAGAGGCCAGAATAATAATAATTATTATTGAATCATGGAAGAGTATGTTAAACAACAGCAGCAATACAGATAGTTGAGAAACTGTTAACAGAAAAGTTGTAATAAAAACAGAGTACAATAAAAAACAGAGACATCTCTCTTTTAAATGGCTTCACAGCATACAGGTAACTGAAAAGGAATTTGCAAGTATTTAAAATTGCAAATCATACGAAATCTGTGTTACACATGGTATGAAAAATTTACAGACCCTACATATACCTTTAAAAGAAAAAAAAAATTAATTATGTACAAGGCGTACTTCAAAGAACAAATTTAATACATAAGAAAAATAAGGATGAAAAGACACGTGGGTGAGAACTTACAAAGTTTCTTCGTGGCAAGATAAGCATTCTTATTACTTTTTCAATTCCATTGATTATGAAATAACCTCCAGCCTCCTGTAAGATCATCAGTTTGACATATAAATATTACGTACATGCACATTTTTGTTTTGTTGTTAGCCATAATCCAGCCACATGTACATGTACAGTTAGTGGCTATTTTCATGTGCAAACTTACATTATATTTATTATAAAATAGCTTACAAATCCATGCTATCAAACTCACTATATTTTGGCATGCATGATAATCCTAAGATGCATGCTCATGGAATGAACAAAGTTAACTTTGCCTCACTACCACCATTTCCAACGTTACAAAATAGTTGATTTGTACTTTTAAGCAGCATATCAACCGGTTATTAGTACTAGAAATTGGACTGAGTGGAGTACAATTCAGAAGTAATCGTGCAAGTAATTTCAAAATCAGACAAGTGTGAAGCACGAGGCCGAAACCGCTACACTGCATTCAAGGTGCTGCAAAAGATTGGGGACAAAAATTTTGTTCCAAGTCTCTTGTGAAAAATGGTGTCTGGCTCAATGAAAATCTTAGCTGGGAGACTACTGGTATTTTCTTAGCTACAACCCTCGGTAAAGATAGAATAATTATTGTTTCACATACTTTCTCATTGTGAGGATCTAGGATTAGTTACTAACTAATTCAGAATAAACTGTTAGTACCTAGTAAGAACACAGATAAAGCTATGACTAATTTCAAGTACACTAAGTTACAAACACAATAGCTGCAATAATTATTATCATACACGTAGCTTTCAAACACTTTAAAGGTACCTCTGCCTCTTCATGCTTGCGGACCAGTTCTGCAGGTGTGAGGTTTGCTAACGAGCAGTTGTTGCACTAAAAAGATTGTCTGATGTTAGATGCAAGACCAGCCTTCAAACCCGGACTTCTTGATCCAAACAGTAATGTACTCGTAATAATTATCAGTTACTTTTCTTATAATTTGCATTATAATACAAATATGCATGCAAAGCAGTCTTAGACAATTTTGTAGTTTCAGCCCGAACTGCCTCATATCAACAGTAGAATACATNATGTTTGAAGATGTGAGAGGCCCTATCAATACCGATAAAGACAATAATTGCTTTGAATACCTTTTTCTAGTAAAGTTTATGTATCAGTTGAATGTCAAATATCTGTCAAATAGCTGTCATATTTTTTTCGGCTCAATACCCTAAAAGGTACCTTGAAAGCTAACTCCTGCAGTGGACCTTTCGAGGTTGAACACCCGAAGAGGTAGCATTGATAACCACTTTTTTTAAACCCTAAAAGGTACGACAAGCACCCCCATCCTTTTATGTGGGAGTCTCCCCGGGGATAACAGTGCCCTTACAAACCCACCTCAGAAGGAAAGACCTTCATCTGAGAAGCATGCAAGTTGTTTTCTGACAATGTAGGAACTCCAATAGAAGCATCCTGAAAGGTATGAGCAGGTTATATTAATGGACTCAGATAAAGCCATACAAGGTGCAAACATTTCTCAGCTATCAGTAAATTTACAAATCTTACATCGGATCATGTGTACTAAAGGCATCCACAGTCGAGTGTTGATGACTGACTCAAAGCTAAAAGAATTCAAAGTGAAAAGAAGTGGAAGTGTGGAAAAGGTTTTATCCATCCATTGTACTTAAAAGCCCAATGAATACATCATTACTTTGATTCGTTGCAAGCATGTCAGCACAACCCAATGGGGTCCCCCCTCACCTGTATCCTGTAGAGTTTGTTATCACCGCGGTGTTTCAGTGCCTGAGCTGGTGTTCCCATTGTTTGTTTTCCCATCTAAACAACAAGTAGAAAACACAACGTGTGTGAGTCAATAAAGATTACAGTAACAGAACACGAGCTTACAGAAGAAATACAACACATGTAATGTAATGTTCCAAGTAGTTTACCTGACACTGATACATGTTACGAGGACTTTGGTTAAAATCAGAGTATGGCGTTAAACTTGCAATGGCACTCAACATGCTTGTCTGTTTCAATTCAAGGTGAGTTGTTTCCTGGTAATGGCATAAAAAAAGGAGAAAAAAAGTGTTCTTCCGTGTTTAAGTGAGGTGATAGTCAGTAACAGAATAGTAGTAACACCTACACAATAGCACTTTTCACAGTAAATTTTTCACGTTTGCGTTACAATGTAATCCAATGTGATGTGAGGCAATTTCAGACAATACTACAAAATTGCCCAAAATTGCCTCAAATACAGGGTAGATTTCATTGTTATGCAAATGAGAAAAGTTAACTATGAAAAGCGCTATTCATTTCACATACATACCCCTTCATGCGATTCTTCTTGGACAACAGCAATGTTCATATAAACCTGTAAAAATAGATTCATTAATAAGTGTAGAAATCTGATGAGCCTGTGGTTAGATGTACAATATAAGAATAGAACTCTCTCCTTCGCAGAGACTGAAACATTCATGCATTTGTGGTGAGTGCACGCGTGGTGCGGTCCATTCAGCAAACTCTTCCCACCCAAAAAAATCCCTTTTGAGCCTCTGCGGAGGAGAGAGAGAATAGACTGCTCGCTTGTCAGCCCAGTTACAAAGAGTATGTAAATACACAGTGAGTGATAGGTAGAAGAGCCTCTTTGTGTTACTAGTTATTGTATGGTGTATGTTGCTGTTTGCCCCCCTCCCCCACCCAATACAGTGTTGAAACTCAGGAGGAGTGGGTGGGGTGGGGTGAGGAGAGGATGAGCAGGTGTAGCCTCAAATCATGCACAACTGTTTGTTTGGTGCCACAAGTGCAAATTTGTCCATGATTTGTGCATGATTGTTCAGTAGATTTCTACAGACTGACCTGCTCAAAAGTGCCAATCATTTCCACTTTACCAGCTGCCAGGTTGAAAACTGGCCTCATCATCCGAGCTGGAGTGGAGAAGAGGAAGAGGGTGGGATACTGACTGGCTACACTTGTAATAGGCACAAGACAGATCTCTAACATCTGAGGAACCTGACAGAAAAGGATGGCAAAAAGCACAATATTCTCAAATTCTCTGAATACTGATCATAACACCAAACTACTCTAAGAAAACATATTTCCCAAAATTTAATACATCATTTAAAACCAATACGTACCTTTTCTTGTCCAAGTACTTTTAACATCCGGAGCCTGTTTACAAGAGCTGGAGCAAGGTCCATATCAACTCTGCCAAGGACTCTACCATCCAATACAACTGTATAACAAGACTTCATATCAGCAGGCGCTGGGGCATCGTTCAGAGTCATCCCTAATGAACACAGGAGTCTGGAGAGATGGGCAGTCTGTGGTACAGTATTCACAACCTGGAGGTCAAGGAATAATTTTTTTACTGAGAAGTCAAAAAAGTGGAGGCACGCTAGCCTCTTGACAAGTGTGCTCGCCTCTGTATTGAGCAATCCTGGTTTGAGCCCTGGCTGAGGACATTGTGTTGTGTTCTTGGGTGAGACATTTTACTCTCACAGATCCCCCTCTGCCCAGGTGTATAAATGGGTACCGGTGATTTTAATGCTGGGGGTAATCCTGTGATGGACTAGCATCCCACCCAAAGGGGGAGTACTCCTGGTCACTTCATGCCACTGAAAGTGGAGATAAGTGTCGGGCTGATGGGCCACGTGGCTCGCATGCAGACTTTTTTTAAGTCAAAAAAAGTGCCAGCTTTCAGAGCTTTTCCAGCTTGACAACAATGATTAGACAACACTTTAGCAATTTTAGCATTTTTTGTTCCAAATTCAGAGGATGGAAGATCGACAAAATCGCTGGTTGAAGAATTTGTTAGGATCCCTTGTCTTTCAGTCAGATATTCCTTCTTCCAAATCCTAGAGTACTATAGTCACTAAAGGGACTGATTAACAAATGCAAGCCCTGCTGTAGTTGGAGGAAGTGCTCTAGATACATATAATCTGACACTAATTTGTAGGAACACAATTTGAACATTTGACAAGAACTCCTAAATTGACCTTGGTCCCAAGTTTGTAATAATCACAAGATTATGAACTTCACTCCGTCCATCACTGTGCATGTTTCTCTGTGGTTATTTACCTGGCAGGATGCAGCCATGTGGTTCAACAAACCACAAGGAGCACCGTCTGGAGTATGAACAGGACACAGGAAACCTAAAATATAAAACAAAAATGTAACATAACCATAAGGCTTCATCAAGTATCTTTTGGAAGAAAAGAACAGCGTCACTTTTGGTTAAAGCATACCCCAAGCTTCAGGCAATAATTTTCTGACAGATGTCGTTCTCATCTGGGAAAAGAAGGAACCTCTGTGGACACAGCGGAAATGGGACAGGAACCTATAAAAGTTGAGCCGGTCTGCTACAACTGAGAATCCTGAGACCTTCAATGAGAAAAATTCACTGTCAAAAAGGTCCATGGAAAGTAATTCAGCTGTAAAAATCATTGGCAAACAGAAAGAAGAACTTACAACACCATACAAATGAGAGAACACTAAATAATTTTGTTCCAAAAATTCACAAAATTAGCAACAGCTCTGATTGAATTTAAGGGCACTTGTTTGCCTCAAGTAACAAGTAAAAGAAATACATGTATACAGTCAAGTAATGTTTTCTTTTTTGTTTGTGAGAACGATCAGAGTGGAACTTTAAATCAAGACACTGAGCATTTGTCAAGTCTTGAGATTCAAAATTGGAGAATGGGGAGTTCTTAGCGATTTCATTAGACAAACAAAACATTCGTAATAATCGGTAACCTGCATAAGTCCATGACCTGATCTTGATATCAGATTTCCAGTAGCAAGAAGATACTCCATTTGGTGTGATATGTTTGCACCATATTGCATTGCTTGTATCAAAGTTGCTGTGAAACAACATAACAGAAGACAAATTACCAATTAAATCAGATCAGTGGAGGTAGATATTCACTGAAAGTTGGTAAAAGTTATTCACCAAGTGATCTGTTCATCAGAACTTTGATCTGGGAATTTAAATCTAAGTCACCTGTGCAAAGAATTTTCTTTAACTTATGAAATCATAGCTAGGCAACTATTTGGATGATTTATACTGTGTGTGCAAAAAGTATTTGCCTGTATAATTATTTGTTTTCTAGTAAATCACTGCATTGTGCTGCATGCAACTGTCTGCAGTTGTTTCCCAGCTTCAGGCATTCTCGTCCCCAGAGGCCACACTCCTTTTGGTCAGCACCAAGAATTGCAACCTCTGGCTGGACCTGATTTTCTGAGTATGTGCAGAGTATTTGTTTT